AGTGGGTAAAACTCTTGCTTTCCAAACTTGATGGTTAAGGGTTTGAACATCACCTTGGTCATCCACTCCATTTCATTTATTTCATAACAATTAGATACGGAGTATATTTTATATAAAATAAAAAACCGATCGGGTTTCGATTCGGTTCGGTTAGTTAAAACCGAATCGAACCGATCGATTTCTCTAAACCAAGTATTGATCGGTACTTCAGTTTAAGACCAAACCGAACCAAACTATGTTTTCTTAGGTTAAGGTTTTTAACGAGGCAAACGATGCAACACATACTTTATATTACATGTACTCTTTTTCTCGGTTAGGTTTTTCCTACAGGGTTTTCTAGCGAGGTTTTTAACGAGGTATGGGTATAAACATTTAATGACCAAGGGAGAGTATTATAATTATTATACTTATGGCCATTAAAATGTAAAGACTCTTCATTTGCCTTCCATTGATTGCATTATTTATGTTATGTAGTTGAAGGGTTGTATGAACCATTATATAAATGAGTGAAAGCTAAATGATACAAACACACTTACATGGTTGTGGTGCTCAATTGTGTTCTTCTCATTCTCCCTTCTTATTGCTTTATTCTACACATGTATACACATACATACAAACCTTGTGCTATTTCCGTGCAAACATTGCGAGACAACTAACGAGTTGATAGGCCAAAACGTAATAGATCATGCCATCATTTTATTTTTACCTGTTATTAATAATTTCTATTTCTATGTCACTAACAAAGTAATGTAGATACTAAATTTCAAAATGACAATATATTTAAACATAAAAAATAATTTTAAAAAAGAAGTTAATTCCATTTTTTGTCCTAGATTTATAGGTGGCAATCAACTTTTAATATTTTTTTAAAACATCTATATTTGGTCCCCGTATTATTGTGGCATAACCATTTTTGGTCTTTCATCAACAAAATCGTTGAAATATTGTTAAATAAAAGATCATTTCGATCATTTTTTATACAGAGGTGGGTTAACATGCTATATTTTTATTTTATTTTTTTTAAAAAATCATAATTGAAGACCTAAATGCTCTTGTATTTTACAAAATTTAAATAATTTTATTGATGAAAGACCAAAATTAGTTATGCCACAATAATACTAGGATCAAAGATGGATGTTTTGAAAAAGAATGACTAAAAGTGAATTGTCACCTATAAATTTAGGACAAAAAATGGAATCTGATTTAGACAGTACACTCAGAATAAGTATTCACCAATTACCTAGGGACTTTATTAGCGGTGTACTTATTGCTTCTTAGGGCTGGGCACTTCGGTTCGGGTTACCCGAACCGAACCGGTCCTAAACTGAAGTACCGATTTTTACATAATAAATATATACAATGCATTGAATGTTTAAAGTGAGGTTTGAACTCTTGACCACCAAGTTATTAAAAATTAAAAGCTTTACCCATTAAACTATAAGCACATTTGTGTCAAAGCTTACATTTGTATATTAATAAAGGCATACATTTTTTATTAAATGTTGTACACTTTAATTGTAATGGACAAAATTGTCCCTACTACATTCTTCTTCAACTTAAATACCCTTATACCGTTATAACACCATTACTATTTAATTCTAAAACTTTCATAATTCTATCATTATTATCATACACCTATATCTAATTATCTATGATATCTTTTTCCTATTCTTTAATTATCATTTTATTAAAATCATTATATAATTACTTTAATTGTTGATTATATTTTAATTAAATTTCTATGAATAATAAATCATATGTGTGTATATATATATATAGGCACGCACACGTACCAATATATGTGACCGGATACTAGATTAGTATTATAGATATTTTATTTATTTATTATAAAAACAAAGTATAAATTATATCAAAATTGTTTACATTATTAATAAACAAAATATAAATTTTGTTCATCTCTATAGTTTTCAAATACAATGATTAAAATTTACTGTAAGGAATTGCGAAATATAATTTGAACTATAATTTGTCATTATTTGCATCACGCGTACAAAATGCTAGTATTATATATAAATATTATAATAATTAATAATTTCAACTCCTCAAGTCTTCAGATCTCAAACTCTTAAGTCGTAAGTCCGTGTTTTAATAATTCTTATTTTTCAAATATTAACTATATATATAGATGATTCTTCATCCTGTCATTAACAAAACACTTGAAGTGGCACTCCAAGTGAACTAACTGAACAATCGGTCAGGCAAAAATGGAAACGTTCAAATAGTGGATTACACCAAAACCGAACCGAATCGAAACCAAACTTTTCAAACCGAACTGAACTCTATTTTAAACCGAATGGTTTAATTTTTTTAAAATCGAAAAACCGAAACCGAAAAAAAACAAACCGAACCGAACTCTATTTTAAACCGAATGGTTTAATCTTCTGAGCCTTCAATTAAAGCATCCAATGATGGTGGTTGGCACATGCCAGCTTGTGATTTACTCCCTCCATTTCTTTTAAGCTGCTTCCATGCATATCTAGCTATCTATATATATTAATAAAATAAAAACGTTGTTAGAAGATGATATAAAAGCTACACACAGTCCTTTCAAAAAAAAAAAAAAAAAAAAACTGCTACACACAGCAAGTTTGGTAAAAGATGAGAATAGCAGCATGTTGTGTAATGCTTCAGGTAGTAAACTTGTTCTCTGTGTTAGCTAGCTCCTACAGCATTGGAAATATAAAATGGGTACTTGAAGTAAGATTATTGAGTGGATTCAATTCTTGCATCATAATCATAGTTTGATGATTGCCTACAATAACTCTATTGTATGATTAATATTGCTAATCAGATCAACAATAGCATAAAATATATTTATGTAACCATAAAAAGGATTAAGCCATAAATAAGTCGCCTACACATACAAACTTCAAGCTAAGCAAAGCTGGCAAGCATCACAGTTTGTTAACCAATAATGAGTTGAAAATGATTTATATAAATATATAGATCAGATCCACGAATGCAATGCAGAGTAGAAATGAGAGAAATAGAACATACATCGCTTTCACTGCTTCTTCCACATCTCAATCATCTGCTGCATTATTCAGATAAATCGCCCAGTTCCCCATCTCGAATTTCCAAGTTCAAAGAGTAAATTGAATCAGGCAACTCTACTTTACACCCTCTTAAATCAATCAACCGTAACCGACGCAAATTTCCAATACCTTTCGGGAGTCTAGAAAGATGCTCACATCTTTGAAGATTTAGAGTTTGCAAGTTATCCAAAGAGCAAATTGAATCAGGTAACTCCTCTACTTTGCTCCAACTTAAATTAATCTCCCTTAGGTGATGCAAATTTCCAATCTCTCCAGGAATTCTAGAAAGACGCTCACATCTGCGAAGATTTAGAGTTTGCAAGTTATCCAAATAGCAAATTGAATCAGGTAACTCTTCTACTCCGCTCCAACCTAAATCAATCATGCTTAGGTGACACAAATTTCCAAACCCATCAGGTAGTCTAGAAAGATGCTCACATCTGCGAAGATTTAGAGTTTGCAAGTTATCCAAATAGCAAATTGAATCAGGTAACTCTTCTACTCCGCTCCAACCTAAATCAATCATGCTTAGGTGACACAAATTTCCAAACCCATCAGGTAGTCTATAAAGACGCTCACATCCATAAAGATCTAGAGTTTGCAAGTTATCCAAAGAGCAAATTGAATCAGGTAACTCCTCTATGTTGCTCCAACGTAAACTAATGAACCTTAGATGAATCAAATTTCCTATCTCCTTTGGGAGTTTCGGCAGCATACAGTAACGCAATCCCAATACTCTCACAGATTTTAGAGCATTGAACATATTTGGAGTAAGTTGTTCTGGAGAAAGGTATTCAGCAAAAAAGCTGCGTAGTTTTCCAATGACATCACAAATGGAAGCAGGATCCAAATGTTTTCCAGTTTTCTGCCATGACAAATGACGGTGATTTTTAAGTTGCACCTCATCCTCATGATGGCTAATACTGTAGCATTCGTTTTTGGTAATAAACTTGGCAAAATCATGCACTATGTCATGCATTTTGCAAGATCTGATGATGTTGGAATCCATGCCAATTTTCATCAAATCTTGGAAAAAAGAACGCATTGTTAAATTCCGAAAAACATCTCGGCCTTTTAGTTCCATCTGATTCTGATCACTTCTTCCCTTTTTTGTTGTGAGATAACCTTGTGCCATCCAAACTCTGATGAGCTCTTCTACATGTATTTCATAATCCTTGGGAAAGACAGCACAATACGAGAAACATCGCTTCATCTGTGGGGTTAGATCATCATAGCTTAGATACAAATGAGGAAAGAGATCGGTTTCCACTTCCTCCATCTCCCAGATTTTACTATCAAAAACATGTTGCCACTCCTCCTCAGTGTGTTTGTAACGTAGCAGGCTTCCCATGACCGTAACCGCAAGGGGCAATCCTTTGCACTTTTGAGCAATTTTCTGACCAATTTCTTTCAGTTTCTTTGAAGCCTCCTCCGTTCTCTCGGAAAATGCTATCCTACTAAGCAACAACCAAGCATCTGAGTCGGATATGAGCTGCACCGGATGCAGATGCACACTTCCCATCATTCTTGCAACGTTGATTTTCCTTGAGGTCACCAAGATTCTACTCCCAGGGACTCCAACCTTGAGGAGGCAGTTCTTAAATGGCTCCCACTTTGCATACTCCTCTATCCACACATCATCCAACACAAGTAGGAACCTATAAGGAAAAACACTCAGATATTTGGGAAGGAACATAATATTTCATTCCACCCTACCATTGATCAATTTATACATGAAAGAGTAACAAATCTGACAAACTACTCCTAAAATATCTCCAATAACCAGGAGTAGTCAACAAACAGAAACACAAAAAAGAGTAATTCAAACAAAGAAATTCAACTAAAATCTTGCAAAAATAAAAAAAATAGAGAACTGATCATAACAGAAGAATACTGCAGCAGCAAAATATAATATAGCATTATTCTAATAGAACGTAACCTAACCTTTTATGAGATAAAGTGTTTTGGATTTTTTTCAGTAATACTTCCAGTTCAGACAGATTTGCGGAGCTTTCAGTGGTTGACTCAACAATGGCTTTTGCAATCTTGATCTGGTCGAAAGGGTGTGAAACACAAACCCACATCCTTTCATCAAAATGAACCTTTATCTGTTCATCGTTATAGACTAATTGAGCAAGTGTAGTTTTTCCAATCCCTCCTGCACCCACTATGGAAATGACGACAGGGGGACCATTATTATTATTATTATTCTCCACCAACTTGCTTATTAAAGCACTGGCATCAATATCCCGACCTTGAATCTGTGATGCATCCACGAACGAAGTAGTGGGCACTCCCTTGGATTCTTGACCAGAAATGTGTGTAGTGTGTGTTACAGCAACAAAATTGTACACATCTTTGTCTTTCATAATCTGACCAAGTCTGGAATCAAGTTCCTTTATTTTATTGGTGATGTCTGGAACCTCTGGACGCTGAACAAAGTCAACAACCCTTTTGATAGGGTGATACAAAAAGCTACTTATCTTTCTTCGAATTTCTGGAGCTCCATCCTCGGACTTCTCGATCTGTTGTTTGTGAGTTGTAATGCGCCACTCGTCCAGAACATCTTCCACATCATAGCAGAAGCCTTGAATGTCTTGGAGCCAGAGCTTGACGTGCTTTTCCTTGAAGCTTCTCCTCTCTGCATCATCCAACACCTCCCTGATTTTGTTGAGCTTTGATGAGAGATTTTCTATCTCCTTCTCCATACCCAACTCTGCTCTTAGTTCCTGCAGGAAGTCGTACAGCAAATCCACAACCATTCTAGTGATGACGTCGGGCATTGCAATGGTTGACTCCATACCTGAGAGTCTGAGAGAGAGATGGGTTATTTCTCCGGCTATGAGCTGGGATCTAGGAAATGGAACTGGTGGGAAAGTGTATATGTCAGGGGAAAATTACTCTAAGAAGTCCTTAGAATACGTATAATTGTAATAGTTGACAGTATATGTATAAATATTGATAGTATATACAAAAATTATACATTTTGAGGGTATAAATATCATCACACCCTAATTTGATTAATTATCTTCTTCCTCCAACACCTTCTCACTTCTCAGGCAACACAACTCCAAAAAAAAAAAAAAAAAAACAAAAAAAATCTCTCCCTTCTACATCTTGTAGTCCCAAAAATAATTTCCTTATACATTTTGTTTGGTAGGGTGGAATTTAATGAAATTTATTTGTGATGGAATTACAATTCCATAGTAAATTATTATTATATAAGAATAAGAATATTATGACCAGAGTAGTTGAAAGAAATCAAATAATATTAAAATTTTGTAATTGAAATTATTTTATTTTTTATTACAAATAAATAAATAAACGAAGAGGAAGGAGGAGATAGGCACCGACTGTCCTTGCTGGTGCATTCTTCTTCATTTTTTTAAAAATTTGTAATAAATAAATAAAATAATTTCAATTAAAAGTTTTTAATATTATTTGGACTACTAGTCATACTAGTACAATTACAAGTTAGGATCCTATTTCAACTGCTCTGGTCAGGGGCGGACCCAGCATGGGGGCAGCTGCCCACCCCCACCCCATATATAACCCTTGTCTGTATATATGTATATATAGTACAAGTTTTAGTATAAGTATAATAAAATAGATAAAAGTTAACAAAAGATGACTAGATGAGGTGGCAAGGTGCGCGTCTTATCTTTGTATAAGTGGCCAGGGTTTGAATCCTTAGCGTCTGTGCAGACTTTTAAATACTTCGTATTAATTAATTGTGAGATTTACACACATATATATAACTTTCTTTTATATTAATAATGAGATGTGTTTATAATGTAATTTTTATTCGAATTATTTTATCAAATTAATTATGTTTCATATTTTGTATGTGTTTATAATGTAATTTTTATTCGAATTATTTTATCAAATTAATTATGTTTCATATTTTGTTATGAATATTTTTTATAAAGTTTTGATGTGTTTTATTTTTTGTCCACATCCAACAGTATTTATGGCTATAATTTTAAGTGTTTTATTTTTTATCAAACTATCTCTTTTGTTTTAATGCGTTTCGCCCCCACTGAAAAAGTTTTATGGGTCCGCCACTGACTCTGGTCATATAATTACAATTACAAGTTACAAATCCTTTTTGTTAATTCTTTTTATATCATTTATTCTATTTTTATGTATTTATATAATTTGTTAAATACTTATACATAAATTTTATTTATTATTAAACGTAACTTATATCATTTGAAAGATTTTTTATTAAGAACATTAAAACAAGACTAATATTTAATATATATTAATTAAAAATTAAATTACCTAAACCATAATTTTAACAAAATTACGATCGGAGAGATGAGTGAAACGCTCCCAAGCCAACGTTCGACGGAAGATCTTGATCTTCTTGAAAGGAGTATGAAAAGGCCAAAACACAACGGTGACGAGGCGGTGCGCTCAGAGTCAGAGGCGATGGCGGAACGGGATCCACATATAGACGTGGAGGTTGTACGTGAGACACCAGCGGAGGAGATGATGGCGCCGGGGGAAACGAGGCCAATGCAGGTGTCGCGAGCTCTGGCATCAGATACGCCAATCGATCTGCCAGCTTCGAAGGACGCCGCAACACCACCACAGAGGACATACGCTGAGAGTGTAACCGGCCTGATCGCCCAGCCTGAGAAACAAACGGACAACGAGATGGAGGACGATCCTGAGGAAATCTCGGACGATGAAGACGATGATCCCCTCTGCCCCACGATCCGGCTGACGAAAGCAGAGCTGGAAGTGATCCGAGCACCTTGGAGGAAGGCACTCATTGTCAAAGTGATGGGAAGAAGTGTGGGCTATGCTTACCTACTGCGGAGGCTCTCAGCCATGTGGAAGCCGAAAGGAGCCATGGATCTAATCGCCATTGACAACGATTATTTTCTCGTACGCTTCGGCTCGGTTAATGATCTCGAATTCGCTATGTTCGAGGGCCCGTGGATGGTTCTATATCACTACTTGATAGCGAAACCTTGGGTGCCTGATTTCGATCCCTTCTCAGACACAACAGAAAAGATGCTGGTATGGGCACGTATACCTTGTATATTGGCTGAATATTATAACTACAGATTTCTCAGGAAACTTGGCAACAAAGTGGGTAGAACAATCCGTATTGATCAAGCTACAAGTTTGGTATCACGCGGGAAGTTTGCGAGGATTTGCGTCGAAGTGGATATAACAAAGCCACTAATCTCTAAATTCAATTACAAGGGCAAAGTCAGATCAGTGGCGTAGGAGGGTATCCATATGGTCTGTTTCGCATGCGGCATCTATGGACATGCAGTAGAGGTTTGCCCATCGACAAAGAAATCGGTGCCGGACTGACCACTTTGTCGATCAAACCTGCGAACGGAAACTAGGGAGTGACGGTTGGCTCAGCTCCGGGACGAAAGCCAAGAAGTGGAGCAAGGCTACCGGCGAGCAACCACGGGGGAACAGGAGATCAACGACCGGGAAAACCCACCACCCTTGAACACCAGGTATCTCGCTTCGCACCTTTGTCTATTCATGATGATAACGGGGCAAACAAGGTGGGAATGGAAGGGGGTATAGATGATGGAGTGGATGGCGAACATGAGTTGCCTAGCCAGAGAGAAGAACCTATAAGGAGTATGCAGGTAGCATCAGCAACAGGAAACAGAATGCGTCGACCGAACGTTATAGCCTCGGAAAAACAAATTTTAAATGAGCCAAATGCGGCGGGGGGATCGCGTAGCAAATCGGGGGAGCCAACAACCAGGGTGAGGAGAGACAGTGGCGCAGGCTCTAGACGCGCGGCGGAGGAAGATGACCATGTGGTCATTAGGGAGGAACAAGGAGGACTAGTAATCAGATCATCGAGAGTGTTCACTGGGGAAAGAGTAGGCGATTTGTCGTCGCCGGTCTGGCACTCCACCAACGAACTCCACGATGATCCACCGGAACGGCTTGATGAGGAAGGGGATGTGGTAATGGACCTAGACGGGATCGCGATACAGTGTGAGGCGGATGGGCCACCGGAGCCCATTGAGTTTTCGCTTTTGTGCTGACTTGGTTTGGTTGTTTCTCCTGTGTTTCTTGGTTTCCTCCTTTTTGCTTTTTGTTTTTATGGATTGTTTACTTTGGAATAGTCAAGGGGCGAGAGGTAAGCCATTCCACCGCGCCCTTAATAATCTCTTAAAGGTTCATAAGCCTAGCATCCTAGGGCTTTTTGAACCTAAAGTCTCAGGGTCCCAGGCTAACGCCATATGCACCAAGCTTGGGTTTTCTGACGGGATCCGCGTGGAAGCTATTGGCTTCAGCGGAGGCATCTGGGTCTTTTGGAAAGACCCAGTGCAGGTTAAGGTTCTATATACTCACCCTCAATTTATCCTTATGCAGGTGGCCAAGACGGGGACCTCCCCGTGGTACTTTGCCCCGGTTTATGGTAGCCCGACGCACCATCTCCGCTGACGCCTATGGAGAGATCTCAGACAATCAAGCAGATCCATCGATGGGCCTTGGCTTATGGCAGGAGCTTCAATTCTGTAGTCCAGCGAGAAGAAACCATGAACTACACCTCTTATTCTAGTCAACGAAGCTCAGATTTTGTGAACTGGATACAAGACGAAGGACTTATTGATTTGGGCTACTCAGGCCCAAAGCTTACTTGGGTCAAAGACGGATCCGTTAACTGTAGGAAAGCAGCCCGCCTCAACAGGGCGATGTGCAACGCTGATTGGAGAACCAGATTCCAACATGCCTGTGTCTCCCACCTCCCCCGGATTGCGTCCGACCACCCCCCCCCCCCCCCCTCCCCCCTCCCCTCTTAATCCAAATTGGAGGGGAACGACGCAACCCCGCACCTGCCCGTTTTTCTTTTCAGGCTGCTTGGCTCACGCACCCGGACCTACATAATGTGGTGCATCAAGAATGGAGACCAGGCCCGGATATCCCGACTAATATGCAAAATCTTGTAGGGAAGCTGTCATATTGGAACAGAACGGAGTTTGGTAATATTTTCAGTCGCAAGAAGACACTTTTGGCTCGGCTGGGAGGCATCCAGAACCGGCTGGCAGTATCCTTCCACAAGGGCTTGGCAAAGCTGGAAAGGAAACTCAGGGAAGAACTTGAAGATACCCTTTATCAAGAAGAGCTACTTTGGTTCCAAAAGTCGAGAGAGTAATGGATAGCATCATGCGACAGAAACACTACGTTCTACCACGCGGCCGCTACGGTTAGCAAGTCAAGAAACACTGTTTCAAAACTGAAAGACCACCTTGGGAACTGGATTTCGGAGGAAAGAGTGCTAAAGAGACACATTCAAGACTACTACTACCAACTATTTGCCAGTGAACCAAACGGGAACTCCGACACGGACCTCTTGGCGACTTTCCCTCAAGTAACATACTTGGATTGGCGCATTTTCAATAGACCTGTGACGAAGGATGAAGTCCATAGTGCTCTTTCAGATATGAGGCCGTACAAAGCCCCGGGACCGGACGGCTTCCCCGCTGCTTTCTATCAACACATGTGAGAGGAAACAGGTGACAATATTTTCAACATGGTCAGGGAAGCTATTACCAATGGAAATCTCTCCAAAGGCATCAATGACACGCTTATTGTCCTTATTCCCAAAGTTTCGAACCTGGAAACCATCAAGCAGTTTAGGCACATCAGCCTATGCAATGTGAGCTACAAGATCATAACAAAGACCATCACAAACAGATTAAAGAAGGTCCTCCCCAACCTTGTCGGGCCGTTCCAGAGTTCCTTTGTCCCAGGAAGACAGTTCTCAGACAATGTTATCATATATCAGGAAGTCATGCATACTATGAGGGAAAAGAAGGGATCAACCGGTCTCATGGCGATAAGCCGATAAAGCTAGACCTCGAGAAGGCTTATGATCGCTTGTTGTGGGACTTCATTCAAGACACCCTCGAAAAAGCGGGCTTCAGTGAGGATTGGACTCGAGTTATAATGACATGCATCCGCACTTCCAGGTTGTCAATTGCTTGGAATGGAGAACGTCTCAGCCCTTTCGCCCCGGGCAGGGGGATCTGCCAGGGTGACGCAATGTCCCCCGCAATTTTTGTTCTCTGCATGGAGCGCCTCAGCCACTTAATCGTCTCGGAAGTCGGTAATAAGAACTGGAAAGGTATTAGACTTGCTAAAAATGGACCAACTCTGTCTCATCTTTGTTTTGCAGATGATATGGTGCTTTTCTCGGAGGATACTCTTGATCAAGTAGAGGTCATTCAGAAGTGCCTGGACCGCTTTTGCAAAGCCTCTGGGCAAAAAGTTAGCCTGGATAAGTCGCAGGTACATTTCTCGCGGAACACGGATGCAACTCTGGCCACGTCGATTGCCAACAGGATTGGCATCAGTGCTACTACCGACCTCGGAAGATACTTGGGAGTCCCCTCACTCCACGGCCGAATTACTTGCAACACTTTCTCAAGCCTCCTCAACAGAATTTCAGCCCGCCTTGAGGGTTGGAAAGCAAAGACGCTCACCACGGCCGGGAGAATAGTACTTGCTAAATCAGTCCTCAATGTCATTCCGGCCTATACAATGCAGACAATGTTGTTGCCAAAAAGCTTATGCTTGGAGATGGAAAAAAGAACCAGGAAATTTATATAGGGCACAACGACTACAGGGGGAAACAAAATCAGCCTCACTAATTGAGAAGTGGTAACGACCCCCAAGAATACCGGCGGCCTTGGAATTAGGCGGCTCCACGACATGAATATAGCATATATGACCAAATTGGGTTGGAGATTGAAAACGGAAGCACAAAGCTTATGGGCACGGACGATAGACACAAAATATGGAAACAGTAAGGGCCTCCTAGACACTGATAAGAATAGGCGGAAGCAATCCAACGTCTGGAAAGGGATCAATGTCGCTTGGCCTTATCTGGAAAAGGGTACGACGCGAGTGGTTCGCAATGGCGGGACCACCCGGTTCTAGATGGATAGTTGGCTAACTCCCAAGCCTCTTTACGACCAATTGCGCATCCCCCTAAGCCTCCCGTTACTGTATGCCCCAGTAAGAGATTACTGGGATAGCCACCGCGGATGGAATGGGAAAAGCTAGACCAAACGCTTCCGCAGGAGACTTTGGAAAGGATAGCGAGCTTCTTGTTGACCGACGACAACCTGGAAGACAAGTTGGGCTGGGGGCCAGACGCGAAAGGTCGTTTCTCGGTACGGTCTGCGTACGAAATGATCACTCGGGCTGACACTGCCCAGCCAGACAGGGAGTGGAGCAGTATATGGAAACTTCGAGTGCCGAGGAAGATCTGTTTCTTCCTCTGGCTAGTGAAACACAGGAGAATCCTAACGAATGTTGAACGGGTCAGGAGAAGATTATCAACTTAACCTTTTTGTTTTCGTTGTGCAGGAATCATGGAGGATATGAACCACATCTTCAAACGTTGCCCTGGTGCGAAAGATATTTGGGATGCAGCGTTGCCCCGGAGGACAGCTGAAGGACTCTACACTTTAAGCTAGACGGAGTGGCTATCCGCAAACCTACGAGGAGACGCGAAGCTGGGGTTCGACGAGGGATGGCCTGAAAGATTTGGCATCAGGCTTTGGTGGCTATGGAGGTGGAGGAACGACGAAGTGTTCAGACATGCTTCCCAACCTTTCGCACAAAAGATACAGTGGCTTCTTAACTATGATGCGGAGGTCAGGGCGGCTTTTGCGTCACATAGACACCATGGGGTGACCAGCACACAACACCCGAAGTCTGCAGCTTGGAAGAGGCCTCCACCGGGCTGGCTGAAAGTTAATGTTGACGGATGCTGGAAGACGAATGGTGAAGTAGGATGTGGGGGTATTTTGAGAGATGAGAATGGAAATTGGCTAGGAGGTTTCACGCAGAACATTGGAAGTTGCAAAATAGATGACACAAAGGCGTGGGTAGTGCTACAAGGCATCCGGTTGGCGAGACACGCTGGTGGGAGGAAGCTGGTAGTGGGGAGTGAGGCTTTGAACATCGTGAACAGCCTGAGTAGAGACGATGACCGTCGTAGTAATATCACTCGACGGTGCATCCGGGAAGCAATGAGTATGGAAGAAATGGTCTACGAACATGCATACAGAGAGCAAAATAGCGTAGCTGACAAGCTAGCCTCGGTGGCCCTAACGCACCATATTGGTGTTCGTGTGCTGATGGAACCTCCCCAGAGCATCCAGGAAGCCATCCAACAGGACAGAATTGGCGCCAGATCCCTCCGGGTACATAGACAATATTAGGGTTTTTTGGGTATCACCCTCTTTAAGGATCAAAAACAAAAAAAAATTTAACAAAATTAAATTGTACTAAAATATTATATTCTTTTTAAAATTCCTTTATTATCCTTTAATATATATATATATATATATATATATATATATATATATATATATATATATATATATATATATATATATATGGAAGGGTTCCTGTGCGCTGGTGCAGTTAACACACAAAGGACACACCTTAAGTATAGAAATGACGCACCTAACCTTGAGCATTAAAATTGAGCACCTTAAGTACACAAAACATGCACTTTAAGCACACAAACAAAGCACCTTAACAAGAAAAATCACACACCTTAAGTTCTAAATGAAGCACCTTAAGTTTCACAACTTACATACCTTAAGCACACAAATCACACACCTTAAGCACACAAATCACGCACCTTAAATTTGACCTAAATGCAAAAAGACTAAATTGTCACTGCATTTTTTTTATCAGTGTTGATCTTGGACGTGTGTGTGTATATATATATATATATATATATATATATATATATATATATATATATATATATATTCCAAGTTATCCAAAGAGCAAACTAAATCAGGTAACTCTTCTACTTTGCTCCCACTTAAATCAATCTTGCGTAAGTGACAAAAAATTCCAATCTCTTCAAGAAGTCTAGAAACTAGAAAGACACTCACAACGGCAAATGATTTTTTTTTAAACTGAAAAATGTTGAAACACTAAACCGCAAAAATTTATTCAATCAAATGAAGAACGTAATAGTAATTTAATAGTACCTTTCTCTAATGTTCAATTCTTGAACATGTTCTTCAATAGGAAATTCTTCATCACTTTCTTCATCATTTGACACTTCATCGTCACTATCTACATCATCATCAAATATAACTTTGCCGAAGCCATGTCGATCCTCTGCTAGAATATTTATTATGTTCACATTATTTTCCGCTTCAACATTATTTTGTATAGCACTACCAAAAATACTATGGAAGTATTTAGTAAATGGCTATTGGTTGATAGCGATTAGTTGATTAGGTTAGTGAATTAAATTAGTTGATTGTAGAAAGATGATTGATAAATTAGTTAGTAGTTGATAGTTTCTTAAAAATGTTAGTAGTTGCTAATTGAAAAAACTGCTTTGAATAACTTTTTGAATTTTAGTCTTTTGAAGCAACAAATTGTTACAACCAAAGCGCCACTGGGGATGGAGATGGTGACCATTTTGGTCGCCATCTCCTGTTGACGGAAATGACCGCCTAAAATGGTCGCTATTTCCATCAACTGGAGATGGCAAGCAATTTGGCCGCCATCTCTAGTGGGTGGAGATGGCAACCATTTTGGTCACCATCTCCGTCGACGGAACAGGCGACAATTTTGGTCGTCATCTCCTTCAACTGGAGAGGGCGACCAGTTTGGTCACCATCTCCATTCGCCGGAGATGGCCACGCCTTCTCCGACGAAGTCTTGGCCTCCGTTGTAGATTTTTATTGCCGGAACAATGGCCGAAATTTATGTGACCTGGTATTACAGGTCAGTAACAGGTAAATGGGTAATGATGAACTAATTTGACTTGTTTATGTACCTAATTGCAACTTTAAAAATTGAAGGCCTAATTGACTTTTGTAAAGTTCGAGGGCCTATTTGACCATTTTCCCAAAGATAATTAATGTTGCAAATTTTGTCTTTTTCTAACAAACAAACATTAGGGACGAAATTTGCAACGCCAGTTATAACTTAAGGATAAAAAGTGAGCACAATCTATTAAAAATAATGAAATTTTCAATGATCTGATTAATTACGAGTGAATTAACAAACCACACCCTAAGTTAATAAGAAAGTTATATATCCAATAAAAAGATGAGACATCATAAAGTGACAATTAAAGAGTGATAATTGTAAAAAAAAAAATTAGCATGGTCCAAAGTATTAGAGAGTATAAAATACCTACCATTTGAAACGTCATTATCCACAGGCAAAGATAATTCCCGCTTAACTTTGGATTTCAATAGCTTCACTTCGGAATTCAATAGTTGAATGACTTTAACAGATCCATTTGTCAATCCAACTGCAAATTGGATGGGTTCCTGTGGATGCGCTGCAACCACAACTGGAAATGCAGCCTCACTTCTGCAATAATATAACGCATACAAGTTAACCCACAAATTAACATTCATTAAGGAAATGAATATTGTAATTGTAATTAAAATAAAATAGGAATATAACATTATAGACCAAGTCATCATCATTCTTTTTGCCATACCAAAAAGGAGACATAATTATTTACTATAATTTCGTGGGCATTTAAGCATTTAAACTAATTATTTTCAATAATTTCACACCCACCAACTAAATAGTGAAATATAAAATGTGTCTTTACTTCTTTCCATGAAATTTAAATTTCAATTCTTTATAAATTATTTTCCGCCAACAAATAGGACTTTTTTTTACACTATAGACTGGGAAGAAGGTACTTGAAATGTTCACAAAATGAGGGGCTCTTGCAATAAAAGTTAGGCCGTGAAACATTTTCAGGCGTGAATAACAAAATAACTAAATATCCAAAACAAATTCATCAAATCATCAAGGTTTCTAGTTGCAAGAAGATACTCTTACCTATTCAATACAACCTGAGATAAATAAGCTGATGGAGCAATATGACATCTAAGTCTTAGGGTATCAGCATCAAGAACTCCAATATTGCCATCAATAAAAGATGCATAAACTAGTTGGCTATTGCAAGAGTATGTAGCAGAAGAGATTGGTGCAGAAAGGGAACCATGTGGGATCCACTGCAACAAATATACTCCAAATTTATATTCTACTATATGACTCTCTAATCATGGGCGTATTTCAAGATTTGAGAAAACATAATGTGTTTACCCGTTGTATGCGTTCCATCTTGGACACATCATATATTGCCAATTGAGTTTCATGTGTAACGAGTAAGCGGACTTGGTCAGCATGAAACATCACTTGTGTGTCACCTTTATGTACTTTACCGCGGAACTTGATGAGAACTGATATTCTATGTTGCCATGTATCAATGCTCCACACACAAAGCTAAAAGAAAATTAAGGTGGTGCTTGAAATGAGCAAACTACCCATCACGAGTACAACTAATTTGGTTTCCAGTTAATTTTTTATTAAAATAAATGTTGGTATGCATAGAGTGCAGAACATAGAAAGCACAAATCTTTGGGCAATTTGAAACCTTGAGGTTTCGATTCGACAAATTTAAAATTCATAAATTTGCCAAAAGAAAAATGTTTGTGTCCCATCATTAGTCGTGGCCCGTGGGATGTTCTACTTTTAACTAAAGGGATCATGCCATGGTTATTTATCATTCCTATGCTTACCTGGGCAACAGCACCCGATGAAACCAGGATGTTACAGTTTGTAGAGAATGCTAAACCAGTTATACGTTTCAAATGGCCTTGAAGTGGCTTAGCCTGCATTTTAAAATTGATTAAATCAGTACAATATGTATTAAATTAGCATACACATAATGCAATAAAATATGACACGTAAATATGTGCATACACATAATGCAATGCAGTACCTTATCATCCCTTACATCCCAAATATATATGGTTGAATCCTCAGTACCAATTGCAATAGTGTTGTTATCATGAGGATGGAAAGCTAAGAAAGTTGATGCAGATTGCAGCCATGTGAATGTTTTCATTACCTACATGACACACAGATTATAGCAATTCAATCACAGAAATGATCATTCATAAAGCCAAATGTGATAAGAGTTAAACCAGTTCGGTAGCCATACATACCTTAAATTCCATGATATTAAACAATGAAACATTTCCACCACTAGCTGACACAACATAAGAGTCATCCCCGGAGAGGGCCATGAAAGGAATTGCTTCCCCATTGTCAGTCATAGAAGAACCACTGTTTGGTTGCCAATGCTGTGGATAGAATTGGCAGTAGTCATTAGACCCCATAGATCGAATTTACAGACTCATAAAGATCAAGGTACCACAATAACATAAACAGTAAAGCAAAACAGTCTAATCTATTTACTACCTTTCCGTTTGGATTTTGATTGTCGTGGGAACATTTCCATAATTTTAGAATACCATTTGAACTAAGTGCCAAGATGCCAACGCCAAAGTTTGTATAAAGAAGTTGGACAACCTTAATAAAATCCATCAAGTAATTAGTCATGAAATTCATGGAGAATTTCGTATTTAATGCAACTTATTTATTAGTAAAGCACCCAATGTTTGGTTAGTAAAATAGATGAACCACAAGAAAAATAATACAGAGAAAAATAGTCCAAAAACCTTTGTATTAGAGCACTCTAGCATGGACACCATTTCCCTTTGAGATAGATGTACAATTTTAGTCAACTGCCAAAGTTTGGTTCTGTCAATGCCTGGCAATTTTTAATAAAACCAGTTAACACAACAACAACGCACACGAAAAGTTACTATTTTTGTCCTTCAAGAATATAACGGACAAAATTACAATTTACAATACTTAGGACTAAACATACATTTACTCTATAACTTCAAGTCAAAAAGTGTAATTATTTCAAATATCTATAATATAGTAATATAAGCGCAATAATATGAGAATATAAAGGGGTAAAGTATGAATACCTGAATCACTACTATCGGCATGTTCTTGTTCCCTGAAAAAGCAAAACTACCATGCATGAACAACATTATTACAGAATTGATAAAATTGATGTAAGGAAGTGGGGGTGGGTCAAACCACACTAGTCTAACCCATGACCTTATAAACCTATATGTTCTCTCTTATTTTATCAACGTGGGACTCTTAACAAACATAAAAGAGGCACAAATGATAATTTTCAAGTCCAATATGTTTACCATTTACGCCTTATTTCTTCAGTTGTATCCTCAGTTGTATATAACAAATCACAACTCCAATCTGTTGAAACATCCAAATCTAGAAATGTCACCTCAAATATCAAATAATCATTAGGGGTACCATTATCCATGATACTCTTAGATTCATTCCACAGACTACGAAATGGTATGTAGGCAAAGCACATGAGGCGCCAATCACCAAAGGTGAAATCGAATTCTTCATTATATAGTCTACCAATCATACATTTTTTTTGAACAACTTTATTTCCATGTGCCAATTTGGCTATGATCTCACAATGCCTGAAAGGATGAATGTCTGGATCTGATTCCCATATCTCTCTTCCTGAAAATAAAAAGCATACAACAAATCCCATAAAGTTCTGATTATACCATGTGGGATTAAGATCAATGGAGACCTTATTTGAAGCATGAGATGAATATTTGAACCATCTCATATTAATATCGGGCTGCTTGTCAGTAGTAGTGTAGGTGACAGTGAAAGGAGTGTTTCTATTTAGAAGGTCAGTAATACGACGAAACTCCTCAGTTAACACTGCAGCAGAAAGAGTTACAAATCCATGAGAGAATGAGACAGAATATAATTCTGAATACTTGATTGCTAGCTCAGCTATGTTGCTCTCGGAGGCCATCGTATGACATGCATATAGTTCCTTTATATTAGCTGGGAGTTGATGTTTCCTTTCACATCTTCTGAAATCGTTGGTGCAGTCAAGGTAATGATAGTGATGGAGTCTGCTGATGCATTCAGTTAAATGCCCAAATTCAGTTGTGTGTCCTGATATCATCATATCAATGAATTGAAGTCATGAGGATAAGAAAAATAATAGTATATTCAGTCAAAAAAATGATTTATATATAATTAATGAACGTGCGCACACATATATATAGAGACATATTTGTTGTTTTTGTTGTTCATAAAATATATTTAGAGTAGACATTACGTTATTAATTGTGGGGTGACTAATTAGAGATCTACCTAATGAAGAAAATTTCAAAGACAAAGCATGCTGCTACAATTATTGATTTCGGGCGAAGATAGCTTCCCTTGCGGAAGTACGGATAACACAAAAGGACGCACCCTAAGTGTAGAATTGACGCACCTAACCTTAAGCATTAAAATGGCGCACCTTAAGTACACAAATCACGTACCTTAAGCACACAAACAAAGCACCTTAAGAACACAAACCACGCACCTAAAGTTTTAAAATGACGCACAAGTTTCAACAACTGACGCACCTTAAGCACACAAATCATGCACCTTAATAAGGAAAACCACGCACCTTAAGAAGTAAAGTCACGCACCTAAAGCTTTAGACCGGTGCACCTTAAGTTTCAACAACTGACGCACCTTAAGCACACAAACAATGCACCTTAAAAAGGCAAATCACGCACCTTAAGAAGTAAAACAACGCACCTTAAGAAGGCAAACCACACACCTTAAGTAAAACAACGCACCTAAAGCTTTAGATCGACGCACCTTAAGTTCTCAACTGAAGAACAGATGCACCTTAAGCACAGAAACCACGCACCTTAAGAAGGAAAACTACGTACTTTAAGTTTGACCAATATGTAAAAAGACAAAAATGCAACCGCATTATTTTTTTAATTTGTGTTCAATCTAGACAATTGATTTTAGCGAGATCAATGGCTATCATTCAACCGCATCTTTCACCTGGACACATTCACCTCTCTCTCTCTCTCTCTCTCTCTCTCTCTCTCTCTCTCTCTCTCCCTCTCCCTCTCCCTCTCCCTCTCCCTCTCCCTCTCCCTCTCCCTCTCCCTCTCCCTCTCTCTCTCTCTCTCTCTCTCTCTCTCTCTCTCTCTCTCTCTCTCTAAACCCACTTTTTGTTGCTCAAACTCATTTTTTAAATATGTTTCAAGAACCAAGATTCCTAAGCTCATCTCAATGACAAAGATTATTGGAACAGCCTTACACAAATTTTTAGGAATAATTAAATACTATTTTTTATACAAATATAGTTAAATAAATTAACTAATTTTATTGTTTATTTAATTTATTTTAATATTAGACATGTATATTGGACAATCATTTTTTGCACAAGTGCTAGTGTGGTAATATAAGAGAGTAAAGTATGATTACTTACCTAGAAAATTGCCATCCCAACTTGCTAGATTTGCCCACATGAAATTGGTATAGTCCTCAATTTGTACCAAGGTATTGCATGTAATTGACCCAAGGCATGTAATTGGTCCTATTGCAGGCATCAATGTACAAACATTTTGGGGGACTTGTAAACCATTGATGCATATCTCATGATTTACCTCCTTTTCCAGAGCTTCATAAGAGACCCTCGAGATTGAGATGCATTTCTTGTTCTTATTTTTCTTCCTAAAAAAATGGAAACACTATGCATAAACATTGTTTGATTTTATTTATTCAATCAACAAACTCTATGCATAAACACTACTAAACTATATGTAGCATGGTATATTAAAAAGTGGAAGAAATAACTTAGAGGAAAATTAGTAGCATGGTATATTAAAAAGTTGAAGAAACAACTTAGAGGAAAAATGAGGGGAAGAAAAATGAAAAATCATTCTATTTACCTTTCATGATATAACAAGCTACAACCCCAATAATATGCTGAAGCTTCCAGATTGACAAATGCCACCTCAAATCTTGAATAATCATTCGGGGTTACACCATCCATTGTGGTTTTAGATCCATCCCACAAACTAGTAAATGGTATGTTGACAAAGCACATGTGTCCATCAATGTAGAACCCTAAATCTTTTGATCCAACAATCACACATTCTCTTTGAAGAACTTCATTTTTATTATCTCTGTGTGATAGTTTGACTATGATCACACAATGCTCCAAATGACCATCAATCTCTTGGTATGAGTGTGGTCTCCACATATCTCCAGTTAAAGGGCGAAAACATATAGCAAATCCCCAAAAGTTTTTACTATACCAAGAGGTACTAAGATCAATGGAGATTCCATTATGTGCCCCATAACGTCGATATTTGAATGATCTCAAGATATCAGCCTTAGGTATAGGATAGCTAAAACTGAAAGGATTCTTTCTATAAAGTGGAAAAGGAATGAACTTCATTGCTAAAGAAGCTCCAACTTCAAACTGATCCTCACAATAGAATGAGATGGAATATAATTCCGAACACTGGATTGCTAGCTCAAATATGTTGCTTTGAAAGCCAAAATGACAATCTACATAAAGTTCCTTCATACTTGCAGGGAGTTTTGGTAGCTTTTCAAGGTTTCGACAACTTGTGATGTCAAGGTATTGAAGATTACAAAGTTCACTGAAGCTTTTAGGTAAACTCACAAAACCACTTCCTTGAAGATTCAAATATTTCAACGAAGTTAAGCCATTGAGTGGCAATGACTCTATTCTACTGCAGCATGTAACCTTCAGAACTTTAAGATTTTCCAGCTCACATAAGCCGTTAGAAAGGCATACCAGATTTTGACATCTAATCAAACATAGCTTAGTGAGGCCACGTAGTTGTTGAATCGATGAGGGGAGTTCTTTAATCCAAACTTCTTCTAAATCCAACTCCACCAAATCTAGCATGCTTGTTTTGATTTCGGGAAAATTTTTTAAATTTTGGCAATACCGAAGATCAAGGAACTTGAGAGATGAAACTTGATTGAAGCTGGGAAGATTCTCAAGGTCAAAGCATCCTCTTAAATCCAATGAAACAAGCCTCCTAAGATTTCCAACTGATGAGTGGATGTCTTTTAATTTCGGACAATATGAAAGGTTTAATCTCTTCAAATTTGGCATCCTAGCAAAATTCGGGCTTTCTAACAAAGAGTAGGATTCACTGAGATCTAAATAGGCCAGTTTGTCAAAGTTCTGCAAATGAAATCAAGAATAAAATAAGTTTGTTGATCAAAGAAAAAAGAAATAACACAAAATAGCAATGAGTTGAGTTAGTATCATATATATACCTTAGTTATCTGTAATGAAGTGAAACCATAATTCTTGAAATCAAGCCACCTCAGTTCACTGCTACAAAGATAATTATCCATATCACGGAAAATTTTGACATCACCATCAACTATGAGTATCTTCAATTTTTTCATATGCTTGAAAGATTCAATGGCAAGTTTAATATTCTCATCATCATCATTGTTCCATTTGTCTGTGGAGGGGGATAAAAATCCCTCAATGTGTTTAGACTTCTGAAAGAAGAAAATTTAAATTTAAAAAAAAAAAAAAAAAAAAAAAAAAAAAAGGTACACACTTAAATCTTTTTAATGGAATACATAATATGAATATCAAAAAAATATATAAAAAAAAAAAAAAAAAAAAAAAGAAACCTTCAAGTTATGTTAGCTAATTATTATTTAGCAGGAACAAAATTAAACCACAACATAGCATAATCTTACTACATGCATCATCCAGAAAATAAGAAAGCACACAAATGCATAAGCTTCATTATAACTAACTAATTTTGCTACATCATACTGTGCAAATATATGCATGCCTTACCAAATTTCCCCTTAGCACATCATTAACATCCTCGAGCTGCCATATCCTTCTCCTACGTTTCTCCTGTCTTGCAATACGCCAACCCATTTTTTGGATTAGATCATGCATCTCAAATTTTCCATTTTTGACTGATAAAAGACATCTTTCAATGAGCAAGCGTGTATCACTTTCAAGCACATCTTTTACATCTTCTTCCCTCCGGTTTCTGAAAAAACATGCAATATGCAAAAACATTTCTTTATTTTTGGAATCTAGTCTATCATAACTTATCTTAAGCCTTGCATCAATATCATTTTGGCCGGTGTCCTCGAGTTGCTTTAAAGTGCTTTCCCAATCAGCCACCGTTAGTTCATAAAGAGAAGACCCCAAAACTTTAAGAGCTAATGGAAGACCCATAGCATAACACACAATTGATAGTGAAAGTTGTTCATAACCAGTATCAGGAAATTTTTTTCCGAACGCATACAAACTAAAAAGTTGAATAGCTTCCTGGTCTACCAATGTATCAACATCATATATATACTTCTCATCAACTCTATGGGAACGCAATACTGCTCTATCTTTTGTGGTTATAATGACTCTACTACCCTCACCAAACCAATCATGCCCTCCAGCTAATTTCTCTAACTGCTCCAGTGGATTGTCTACATCATCCAGAACAATCAAAACCTTTTTCCCTGACAGCCTTTTCTTGATCATCTTTATTCCTTCATCCACATATCTTATATCTACTGGTGATCTTTCATTTAGGATTGTTTGTATAAGGGTCTTTTGCAATTCAATAATATTACCTTTCTTTACACTGATATTCTCAAGAAAGCAAGCTCCACCAAACTGGCTCGAAAACTTGTTAAAAGCAACCATGGCAATTGTTGTCTTACCGATACCTCCCATACCACAAATGCCAATGAATCGAATATCATTAGATTCCAATCTCAACAAGTCACCTATAATGTCAACTCTAGATTCCATCCCCACTAAGTTCTTTTCATGGTCTAGCAAGGCTTCATTGGATTGATTCAATCGAACAAGTATGTCGGCGGTAACTTCTTCGATACATTTTCCTACATACCTGACAACATTGAACTTGAATAATTTTAACAATTTAGTTACTCAGACTTAATAGCAATATATTCAAAATATGGGACAGATCCTATTCACAAAGCCACAACACATCAATATAAAGTTTACATTCTTCAACAAAAAAAGTTGCAGTTCTTTTCTTAATAATTTCCATGGACATCAATCTACACTAACAAAATTATTCACACCCGGTTAAATTGGTAGAGCCTAAGGTTCCAAGTTTAACTCCAGCAAGAGCAAACATTTGGGCCTTCTTGATTTGAGCCTATCAGCTACGGGCAGCACACATGCTCGAGTAGTAGGTTTTTCTCGTCAGTCTTCACCCAAAAAAAAAAATATATTATTTACACCACTTTTATCTTTTCCTTTTCAAAATTAAATTAAATACAGTTACATAAAACGTTTTCTTTCATAAATACAGTAACCACTACTTGCATAGAAACTAAGCACACAAAAAAACAGAGCAAAATATTAAAGCAGCAAAGATGAATGAGAAGAGGAAGTGGAAAGCAAACCCGTAATAGTCATTCTGCAAATGATGCCCTTTGAGATAGCCCGCCTTTTTCAGCGCTTCCTTCCATCTTCTTATCTTCTCCTCATCATCCTTGAAAATTTGTTCAAGTTCCTTGAACGAATCTTCGAAACTTCCTTTTTGATTCCGGACATCTGAAGGCTCCACGTCGTAAAAAATTGGCACTACAATTTGCTCCTTGAACTTCTCTTGGCATTCCATGATGGTTGCAAGTTCTTCCAAACACCATTTTGACGATGCATAGCCTTTGGAGAAGATTGCGATCAAAAATCTTGACTCTCGAATAGCTTTCAGTAGACTCGGAGAGATACAGTCTCCTTTCTCCAGTCGATTATCATCTTTGAAGGTACGAATTCCTTTCAGATCTAACCAAGTAAAAAGGCAATCTACAAAAGTCTTCCGAGTATCTGGCCCTCTGAAGCTCAAGAAAACATCATAAGTCCATCTCTGGATTGATTGTGAAGTAGTAACAGAAGATGTAGAAGCCATCAAGCCATATATTTGCTATGGCCGGAATTTGGATTCCTCTAAAACATGCAGAAAGTCATTAAAAGGGAGGTTCAGTTGAGGATTAGGATTAAACTGGCGTATGTTGAAAAACTAGAAAGGAGACTCAGATCATTTGAGGAAGGTTGATTCGGAGAAAAGAGGAAGAGGAGAGAGAAAGAATTGGGTCTTAAATAAATTAATATATGCACGCGTGAGTTTGTACAAGTTATTTCGGTCAACCAGGAAAATTTTAGGTTCATAAAGTGTCGTGGACTATAACAAAAAATATATTTTTAATATTTTTTGTTGTGAGAATATATATATTTTTAATATATTAAATGTACATTATATAATAAAATATATATATATATATATTCAGTACAAAATTAATGTATATCTTCTTAATACAATGTACATTTTTAATACATTAAAAGTATATTATTTTTGTACTGAATAAACATTATTTTACATTATACAAAATATGATCTACACAACTTGTGTGGACCATGATGCACAGAATAATGATTCAGAAATTTTTTGGGATTCACTCACATAGCTGGCGCCCGCTTAAAATTTAGAAGAAAAATTAAGGGTGTGTTTGAAAATTCAAAAAATAATTTTTAAAAATTATTTTTAGATTTTTAATGTTTGAATATGTTTAGAAAATCTAGTCTAATGGTACTCGGGTTGGATTTTCGTTTGGAAGGTTGTAAGTTCAAGTCTCAGTGGAGGCGTTATTGGCTCTTTGTGTTTCAGTATATGAACAGAAAAAGAAAATCTAGTCTAATGAAAAATATTTTTTTGTTGATTAAAGAAAATCTAGCTATTTTAGCGGCTTTAGCGAAAGCCATTTTCCGCGACATTACGGAGACCATATTAGTTTTTGACAGAAAACATAGGTCGAGCACATGGTTTGCACTGCGGGAACTTCCGTGGGTTTGTTTTTTAAACAAAATAATAAAGGAATAAGGGTCAAATAGGTCATCGAACTACACAAGAAAATACAATTAGGTCACTGAACTCAAAAAGAAATGCAACTGGGACACTGAACAACGCAAAATGTTGCATTTCGACCAAAAATGACATATTTACTTGTTAACTTGCTGATGTGGAGGTTATCATGTTAAAATAATAATTTTTTTTATTTTATTATAATAATTTAAAATAACAAAATTTTAAAAAAAAATTAAAAAAAAAAAAGGTTTGCCACCGGAGACGAAGAACCAATCTTCGTCTCCGGCAACCTGGTCTTCGTCTCCGACCGGGGACGAAGAGCTCTTCTTCGTCCCTGGCCGGAGACGAAGAATCCAGGCTGCCGGAGACGAAGACTGGTTCTTCGTCTCCGGCAGCGGATACGAAACGTAAAACACGTTTTTTTTTTTTTTTTTTTAAATTATTTTATTTTTAAATTTAGTTTTGTTATTTTAAATTATTAAAATAAAATTAAAAAGTATTATTTTAATATGGTAACCTCCTCATTAGGTAAACAAGTCATTTTTGGCTTAATTGCAACATTTTGTGTTGTTCAAGGACCCAATTGCATTTTTTTGAGTTCAATAGCCTGATTGCATTTTCGTGTGTAGTTCGATGGCCTATTTGATCCTTATTCCAATAATAAATAAAATTATATTTAATATTATTATAAATATTTTTATATTTTAAATAAAATAATTAAAATGTTTAATTATACAATTCTACTCATTTTTTATAAAATGAACCAAACACATTAATAGGGGCGGAGCTACAGTGGAGGCGGTGTGTGAGGTTAGTGATTAATGTTAGTAGTTGTTGAAACTTAAGGCCTGTAAGTTAATACTTAAAGTGTATGGGTTTTGTGCTTAATGTGCGTGAGGTTGTGCTTAATGTGCGTGGGTTTTGTACTTAATGTGCGTGACTTTGTGCTTCATGTGAGACATTTTAAAATCTTAAGTGTGTGAGTTTTGTGCTCAAAGTGCTTTGTTCTGTGCTTAATGTGCTTAGATTTTGTACTTAAGGTGAATGATTTGTGTTCTTAAGGTGCTTTGTTTGTAGACTTAAGGTGCGTGGTGATTTGTGTATTTAAGATGCGCCATGTTAATAATTAAGGTGCGTCCAACCGCACAATCGCACGGGAAGCCATCCCCGCATCTGAACTCTTCCTTATATATATATATATATGGAAGGGTTCAGGTGCGGGTATAGCTTCCCGTGCGGTTAGATATGTGACGTTGATCAAATTCGGCTCAAATCAATAAAAATTAAAAAAAAAAAAAAAAAAACGCGCGCGTGTCTGGAAGAAAGAAGCATAAGCTAAAAATGGCGTACCTTAAGTGATAGAAACACGCACCTTAAGTGTTAGATCTTAAGCACAAACTCACGCACATTAAGTACAAAACTCACACACATTAAGTACAAAACTCACACCCTAACGGTCCGAGTTTTACTTTTTTTAAAAACTTAAATTAGAATTCGGACCATGATCTTCCGATTTATATAAAAAAAAATTTGTGAAATTCGGACCACAATGGTTCGAGTTTAACCTTTTTACGGCGGACCCAGTCCATTTTGCCATTTCCGAGACGAATAGATTCCCGAGGTAGAGATAGTCCATTTTATCATTTCCGAGACGAATAGATTCCCTGATTGTATTGCTATTGTGAATCAGTATGAGATGACTACTCATTTAATATGAATGACTATTCGTAACATTGCTTCTGCGATTTGAACCGAATATATTCGCTGACATTGCTTCTTTAAGTCAGAAAGATTTTATTTAGAGACAGTCCATATTCGCTGACATTACTTGTTGAACCCGGAAAGATTTTATTTATTCACTTACATGTTGGGTAAAGCCCGAAAAAAAAAATTAGGGTAATAGTTGGGAGATCAATAAAAATTAGTGTAAAAAGAAAAAATTCTTCTAATGTAAAATTTGGTGTAGATTTTTTGTGTTTTAGGATGGAGATACAAAGATAATGTGCATTTCAAATTTTGAGTTATAATTACATGTATGTGAAATAACAAATTTTATGAGAACTTATGCACACTTGCAACCTGCAAGGAATAAAAAATTACAATTAACCGTAGTTAACCTAATTTTGAATTGAATAAACAAGCAAGGACCGTACTAAAAAAAAAAAAAAACAAACAAGCAATGACAAATTTCCATTTGCACCCTCCGTAATTTTGTGGATGTGAACAGTGCCGTGCCATTCACCTCCGACAAGTTTTTTTTTGTCATTTGCCAGTGGATTGGAATATTAACGGATTGGTGTTTGTTGGAAAACGGTGCTTGTAATCTGTAATACATTTGAAATACAACAAAATACAGAAAACAACAGGGAACAAAAATTGGATCATTTGATATCTTCAGGCGTGTAATCACTTTCCTATAAGCTTTAAATCTCCCTCTATCAAAGCAACAAGGTTCAAGATTTAATCTTATGGGATACAAGAAGATGAATGAAATTCTCAAGTTGCTTTGTTTGAGAATTTCCTGTAGAATTGCAGTACTGTAAAATATCTCAGTCTTATACAAGTTTTTTGTATATTCAGACATTTCTCCACATATTTATAGGTGTAAATATAGCAGTTTGGAAAAGTTACATGGAAGTTAATTATTTAAATTTGAAACTTAACTTCCATAAGATATATCTTATTGTATATATCAGGCATGGGAAATATAATTATATAAACTATATAATTATAATATGCTTACTGCATTCTTACTTATGGGTAATATATAAATATATATTTAATACTTATAACTAATGCATGAAACATGCAAAAGCTAAGTAAATAAATAATATAGAATTATATATTAACTTCCCAATTCACACATGCAGTAAGCCAACGAATTCATTCCATTTCACATTTCCACGAATTCATTCCATTTCACATTTCCACGAATGCAGCCAATTCAATAACATGACCGAAATTTTCCTTTCGTTAATTTCAAGTTGGCAAGGCCGAAACTTTCAGACGAAAGTTTTCACATGTTAAGCAACATAATGTTTCCTTTCGTTAAGCACGAATTGAACAGAATGTAACAAATCCTTTAAAGCCAACACGATATGTTATTTTAAAAACAACGAAAGCATTGATTCGTGTAACCCAACGAAATGAATAAAATGCATACCATCAACTCGTTAAACCCGAAACTTTCGATTCGTTAAATTAATGAATTTGATACAATCGAATCCATCGTTTAAATAACGATTTGTACGCAACATTCATATTTCCCAACTTCTTTCTACCAAACTAAAATAATATTTATAACTCCACAACTCCAAATATTATTTAAGCTTTTCATGATAGTTCATCTGAACCATTAATTCTCATTACTATATAAATCTCTAACAGTGTTGGAATATGACGGAATACGATTCTTTTGGAGATACTAAACTCTTATAGGAAGTCTAGATCACATTTAAATACGATATATATATATATATATATATATATATATATATATATATATATATATATATATATATATATATATAAAATCTTTAAGGTAAGTTCGTTAAATATGATAAGACATCAATCGTTGTACCCTGCACCACGGTGCGCGCAGCACTGTACGCCCTGTGCTTCCCAAAACGACATGACGCGAAAGGGAGTTGATGTGATTATGTGTATTTAGTTATATCATTATGTGTATTTGTTTATACAATTATGTGTATCTTTTTATACAGTTATGTGTGTTTGTTTATACAATTATGTATATTTATTTATACAATTATGTGTATTTTTTTATACAGTTATGTAAAACGACGTCGTTTTGCATCAGGGCGCACAATGCAATGCGTGTCCTGGTGCACGATATAAATTGCCATAAGACATCTATCAAATTCTACACCAAAATGGTGTGGATGAATAGTGTTGCATCATATATTTATAGTGTAGAATTGTTTTATTTTTAAATCTTTTTGTCCTCGGTTTCCCTTTTAAAAATTTATATTATTAACACTAAATTATAAAATTTCAAATATCTCATTGAAACGTTTAAAACAAGTTCAATATTGAGAATATATTAATTAAATTTAAAATACATAAAAACATACCTTCTATTATAAAATAATATTTTTTAGATCAAAATTATATTTTATATTAAATAATTAAAGAAAAACATAAAATTTTCAATTATAAAAATACAAA